ACCTAGTACAAGATACTCTCATCTTTGTCCACGTGTCTGGTACACATGTACAGCTCTTAATTCTGTTCCAATGGCCTGTCTACCGTGTTTGAAACTAGTTTAATATCTTTAGGAATATCAGAATCAATTATTAGAAAAGGAATTATCAGCTAAGAATAACTGGCACAAGATTTGGGTATTTTTCCCCATATTTAATTAGTTATTCTTATTCTTGTCTTTTTTTGCATTTTCATACAAATTTTAGATTCATCAATTTTTACTTAACCTAATAATACATTAATTTAAAGTTGTGTTGAATCTACACTGATGTATATATTGTATGTCCTTCAACTTATTTATTAGGTTTTCTTTAGGTTCCCAGTAATGTTGATTAATAGTATTCAATAAAGAGTTCTTGCATATCTTTAATCCCCAGATATTTTGTTTACTTACAACCTAATGAAGTGGCATTTTATTTTTAAATCTCACTTTCTGTTTGCTTGCTGCCAACCTCCAAGGTGTATTATTGGACAAAACTGTATTGGGCAATCAGCAGAAAGCCATGGATGTGATGCTCTGTCACTTCCAAGTCTAGGTTGCAAGAGACAAAAAGGTTCTGCCTCACTTTCCCTTCCTGGTAACTCATTCTGGGAAGGCTGGTTGCCATGTCTTAAGAAAATGTCATGTGTAAACAGGGAGGCCTCAGCACCAGCTATGGGGAGACTTGGAAGCAGGTCTTCCAGACCTAGTCAAGTCCTTCCTTGGGTGACTACAGTCTTAGCTGACATCCAGCCTGCAACTCCATGAGAGACCCTGAACCAAAACCATACAGCTAAGCCTCTTCGGTATTCCTGACAGAAATTATATGAGATAATGGATGTTTAACAACATTCACTGTAGCTGTAGCTCAGAAGACAGATGCCTTGCTGGCATGTGTGAGGCCCTGGGTTCAATCCCCAGCACCACAAAATAAGCATGTTTTGAAATATACAAAAATGTTTGGGTCTGTTTTTTTTTTTTTTTTTTCTGGGGATTGAACTTGGGACCTTGAGCATGTGAGGCAGGCGGCAGCACCACTGAGCTAAATCCCCAGCCCCAAAAATGTTTTAATGTTAATTATTTCAGCATTAAATTCTGCCACAATTTGTTATGTAGCAATTAACAGCTAACACAATTACTGGTTATCTATGTCTCTGCTTCTGTTCTTGCCTTCTGATAGTATGTTTTCAACGAAGGAGCCAGTGATACTGATAATCTAAATGAAATCATACTGTTTGCTTAGTCAAAATTCTCCACTGGTTCCCCAATACGCAAGGAGTAAAAGCCAACTCCTTGGCATGACTTCAGGCTCTCAGGATCTGATGCTTTGTTGCTTGACCTCTTCTTTTAGCCCATCTTAACAGACACTCCCAGGCCTGCCAGGTCCACTCCTGTTCCAAGGCCTTTCTACCTGCTGGCCTTCTATATTCTCCCAGACCTGTGACCATGATCCCTCACCTCCTTTATGTCTTTGCTCAAATATCACCTTTTCAGAGAGACCTTCCTTGTCATCCTACTTAAAATTGCCCCTTGCATTCTTTATAATCGTTCCCAGTGCTATTTTCATCAATGCCTTCCTTTATCCCAATCTTAATTTACTAATCAACTACATGTATTTTGTCTGTCTTCCCCTTAAGATATTAGCATGATAACAAAGATAATTTCTTTTTCACTGATGCATAAAATAATGCTTAGCAAATGGCAGACTTTCAGGATTTATCAAATGTATAAAACTGCCTGCCATCTTCCCAGTATCCAATACCTGGTAGCCAGGTATTTATTCCAAAGCAAGAAAGTACATAGTATCTCTTTAAAGAAACTGAGTTTGCTGTTTAAGGAGAGATCTCAGTCTTCCACCAAGGTTGGCAACATATGGTTATATGGAATGTACCTTGATAAAGACTCCTAGCCTAATGCTCCATGATTTTGGGGATCTTTTCTAATTCAATCCACCTAGAAAGGGATTCTTTTTTTTTTTTTTTTTTTTTTTTTGATACTGGGGATGGAACTCAGGTCCTTGTGCTTGCAAGGCAGGCGGCGGAACCACTGTGCTAAATCCTGGCCCAGAAAGGGATTCATTTTAAAGTCTGCCTAATTTAGCATGTTCCAAGTAAAAATTAAGTCTTAGTTAATTTCACGTCCTCAAAACTAACCTTGGTCCTATATCATTTATCCTAAAGAATGACAAAGCTTTTACCTATTCAAGGCCACTCAATATTCTTTTCTGCAAAATTCTCCATTGGCTGCCACGTTCACGGATATTAACTTTTCTTCTAAAAAAAAAAAAAACTAACATAAAATAAGACCTGCAATCCACCAGATCCACATGCATAAGTCTTTATTTCCTCCTTTGTGACCTTCCATGATATAAACCACACAGTCAAGAGTTTTCACGTACCCATCCAACCAAGAAGTCTCTGGGCTTCAATCCCTGCCCAAACCATTTTTAAAAATCTTTTCTCCCCCTAACGCAATCTCCAACTTAATGCTCATCATTGGTAAATGACTGTCTCTCACTAACTCCTTCCACTTAATACTGTCTTTCTCAAAATTTAAATTTCTTCATGCTCTCTTGAAACTTAAACAATACACTTTATATAAACTGGCTTTACTATTTAACAGTACCTATAGAGTTTTATGTGCCAAGCGGTGTACATATTTTATAAATACCAAGTGTTTTAATCCTCATAATGATCCTGTGAGGTTCATCTTCATTTCCCAAATGAGAAACTGACGCACGAAGAGATTAAGGAAACCATGCAAGGTCACACAGGAATAAGTGAAGAGGCTCGGATTCAATCCATGCCATCTGGCTAGAGTTTAACCTCTGAATCAGAAGTATCCAAGGCTTACTCTCCCTTTGTACTTGTTTGACACTTGCCTTGGCAGTGTAAAAGCAAGAAGGTAAGACAGCCTTAGCATGAATCAAGGCAGTGGTGTTAAACTATACTACTGTACTAGTAGTCACTTTATCACCAAATTCTCTCTCTCAAAAAGGGGAAGGGGATTCATTTAGGAATATTCTTGATGAAACAAAGTTATTAATTTTATTAAATCTTCATATTAGTTATATTTTATTGTATTCTTCTTTGGCCCATTCTAGGATACTGGTACCACAGAGTAGAGCTTTCTTCATTCTATCCATATACCACAAAATGAAGTTTATCTCTGGACAGAATCTAGCCTCACAGCTACTTAGTTTCTCATTCTTGAGAAAAGGCTTAAAGAGAAAACAGATGCCTATTATAAATTCAGAAGTAAACAGCTATCAGCTCTTTAGAAAATCAATGTCACCTTTCAACATGTGAAATATGAATAATGAGCAAATAGGTCTATAAGGACAAAGACTACAACATAAGAGAGAAAACCCAAATTAAACACAGAGAATAACTGTTTATTTTTTCCAGAGTTATATTCACAGCCTCCTAGGTTAAGGTCAGCAAACATTGCCTCTAAAGCACCACAGTATGCACATTTCAAATGTCTGATCTATACAGCCTGTCACAGCAACTCAATTCCACCTTGGTAGTGAAAAAGAAACCATATATGTCAGTGCAAGGATATAGCTATGTTGCAGCAGAACATCTATCTATAATTAAGAGGTGACTAAAAAGGATTGCTTAATGGGCCACACAGGTCTGACAATTCCTGCTCTAGGATCAATAACAAGCACATAGGAGGTACTCAAATAAATAAATGATTTGATTATTAAATAATGATTTGGCCATTGGTTAGAAGTTATCAGGAAAAGACACAGTAAATTCCTTGATTATAAACTAGTTTTACTTTCCTTTGTCATCATTTTTTGTTCAGGATGTCCCACTACCATTATTTGTGGTGCTTATTGCTCCATTAGGTCCTGCAGAAGACACAAGTTTATGGACATGATTCTGCTCTCAACAACCAAGGAAAGGGCTAGAGGTGTAGCTCAATGGCAGAGTACATATTTAGCATGCCAAGGCTTTGAGTTCAATCTCAGCTCAAAAACATTTGACTTTCATGTATCTACAGATATTGCATCTAACTCCAAAAATCACAACCTGCCACAAAAATAAAAACCCTAAAATGTAAGAAGCACTAAACCCACAGAGGTTTGAAATAACTTCATAGGAGTATTTAAAAATGACTTCAAAAATGATGGTGATATTTTTTTAAAAATGTTGAAGTATCACAGATGGTGATTTATTTTTTAGCTAAAAGCTATAGCCACAGTGGCACACATCTGTAACTCAGCACTCTGGAAAGTTGAGGCAAGAGGATCACAAATTCTAGCCCAGCTGGGCAACTTAGGAACTTAGTGAAATCAAAAACAAAAAACAACAATAACAACAAAAACTCCCCAAAACAGCTAGAGATACAACAGAGGGTTCAATCCCCAGCACACAGGTGCACACACACACACACACACACACAAATCTAGTCAGTTGTGGCAGTACACATCTGTAACCCCAGCACTTTGGGAGGCCAAGGCAAGAGGATCCTGAGTCCAACTCCTACCTGGGCAACTTGGTAAGACCTGTCTTTAAAAAAAGGGGGGTGGCGGCAGTGTTTGCTGGGGATATTTTGTGAAGGCCATAGATTCACCTTTAGTATCATCACCAAAACAAACAAACAGTCTCATTAATACTTAGGTGAGATGAGTAACATATTTTGAAATGAGGCCTAACTATGAATCATTACAAAACACAATGTTATATACATAGGACAACTTGATACGTAATATGCCAAAGGGAATAAAACAAAAGATTGATTTAATCCTAAAGCTGGTTTTGATGCTGGTACTTCCAACTTGAATTAAATGGTCAGCCTCAAGTTTCTCATCTGACTCACAAGCCTCTGAGGAAGGTCAAACGGGAGAGTGACTGTGAAATCATAATACATTAATAGCAACAGCACAGTTCAGAACTGGATGGCTTATTTAAGGTAAATATGTATAGTTTATAATGAGGGAGAGCTGCAATCTGTCAGGTGTTTAACAGTACCTGCAGTCATAAATCCAAGGCTCCGTATTTATCCGTGGCTCACCAACAGCTGGTACAAGGCCTCCTTGCCACATTAATAGTGATCACTTGTTAGGTGTTCTCATTCTCTGAAAATGCCTCTCACTCCTACCTGACATGACAGCAATTTCATGATTAGAAGTGTCAGGAAATGATTTCTAGCATTCACCTCTCAAAAGTTTTATAATGATGTATCAATTATTCTGGTTATCTGCCAAAAATTACTCTAAATGCTTACATTTAGGAGTTAAAACTGCAGAATTATCCTTTTATACGCAAGTGCCAGTCAACATTCCAGTCTACATCTGACTACATCCAAAAATCACACAATGACACTATGGTCCGTAACCAACCCAATGTACAACAGACATCCCATAAAATTATACAACCTGAAGTCAGAGTTCACATCTATGTGCCCAACAATAAAGTCACCTAGCTGCTTGTTTCTCAATGTATCTTTATGATTGATGTATGGTGACTACATAGTTTACTGAGGACAGAGCTCCGTGTGTTTGGAATACAGGGTGGTGGAAAGGTGTCCTAGAAAAGATTAAGAATGAGGCAAGGTTGTGCACACTTGCAATGTCAGCACTTGGGAGGCTGAGGCAGGAGGAATGTGAGGTAAGGCCAACCTGAGCTACAGTGAGTTTGAGGATAGCTTAAACTGTAGTAGTTAGACCCTGTTTCAAAAAAAGAAAAAAAAAGGGAAGAGTAAGGCTACATGATGTATGCTTAGCATCATGCTAAGGAGTCTAAATTTAAATCAGCAGACAAGGGAAGGAGGGCTTAACAAGTGCTGTTCATTACATTCTTTTAAATATATCTGTATTGCTCTGAAAACCATTCAAGGTGACTTTAAAAATGCACACTGCACAAGAACATTAAAGGAATGAAAATGATAATCCAAGGGAAAATGGTAGGAAAAACTAAGTAGTTAGAAATATTGTCAATTAACGAAGTGGGTTATGGCCATAAGGGCCTATTTACTAATTACCAGTAGAAGCTGTTCAGTTAACTTTATTCCTCCTAAACACTAATGCAAAGGAGTACACTACTAGTTAAGAGGCACAATATTCTATAGAAAAGAAAAACTAATCTCTCAGGAAAAGTACAATTATATCTTTATCCAGGCAACATAAGAGCATTTCATCTTACACTTTTTAAGTAAAATATAATATGATATGATCAACAATATCTGTAAAATAAAATCCAAGTTTCCGGGGTTGTTTTTTGGTTCTACTTTTCTACACAAATCAATAATATCATGGCCAATTTCAGCTAATGGCCAGCTTACAAAGACTTGGTTAAAAAGAAAATATTAAGATATCTAAGGATATACACAGACTTATTCATGCTCCTCACTGGTGATCCTTCATAAAGTTCTCTGAGTTTTTTTTCCCCTAAATTAAAAATCTAATCAGATAACTAGACAGATAATTAGATATGTAGCAGTAAGCACTCACTGAAAGTATCAATGGGGCCCTAGAGTAGCACTTTTCATGGATTACCTCATTTAGGCCTCACCAACACTATAGAAGAGAAGAGCTTTCACCCTCCAACACACATTCTTTATTGTGGTGGGGGGTGAGAGGGTGGCAGTACTGAGGGTTGAATCCAGGGCCTTACAAATGCTTGACCACTAAAAGACTGTAACCCCAGTCCTCTTTCTAAAATTTTTGAGACAGGGCCACACTACGTTGCCCAGGCTGGCCTCAAACATGTGATCCTCAGCCTCCTGAGTCACTAGGATTACAGTTATGTGCCACAGGGCCCAGCCACATACACCCCCTTTTAATCATGTAAAAAAATTGAAGTTACATGTGCCACTCATTGCCTCCAAGCTGACAATCTTTTCTAACACAATCTGAACAACCTACAGATCTTAGCTCTTGCTACCCTTTTTGGAAACCAGGAGCAATCTTCTCTAGAGAAGCTAATTAGACTTGGATGAATGCCACACAGTGAACTTTCTGAAATCAGGGGCTGGGGTTGAGCAAACAGAATACCAGACAAGAAGTACCAAGGCTATAAACTGGCAATTTAGTTCCATATGATTTCCCATATATCTTTTTAACAATCTCCCTTTTTTCTTTCTTCAGTTATAATAATTTCTGTTCTCATGTGTTCTGGTCCCTGATTAAAATCTAGTAAAAAGTGCTTCTTTGAAAACCTAAGACTACTCTCCCTTAACACTTAGAATATTTCTAAACACACAGTGTGATTGTCAGCACTCAAACTGACTACTTTACTAGGATCTTAAAAACAGACGACAGATTCCCTTACAATAAAAGCATGACACGAAATCCAGGCTTTCCTGAAAGACTCTACTGCACTACCCTTAATATTGTTAGTCTTCAAGGGAGTTTTTGGATTATCAAGCACTCTACAAGCAGCTAAATATAAATACTAGTTTTATTTCCACAAAGCAAAAGGCTTACTTTGATCTGAAAAGCAATAACTGATAGACCTCAATACTTGCAACAATATGCTTGACTAAATTGTCAATACCTTCATTTAAAAAAATCACTGTTATAATGAATTTTATAACTAGCCTAAAATAACTTGACTAAAACCTAGAGAAAATATACCTAACCAAGAGCCTTAAATATTTCTGCTTTTCTTTCTCTTCCTTTATGGAGTAACAGCTGGTATAAGGGCCAATTTTCTATGTTCTAGTCAAACAGAACTGTGTCACTCATAAATATCATGCTTAATATACATGCATTATCTAGTATATCTAACAATCTAGAACAGAATTGTCTAGTATAGTAGCCATATGCTTCTTGTGGCTACTGAGAATGTGAACAGGAGGCCAGGGGAAGATTTCTATTCTGCTGTGCTGGGAATGTTTCTTATGATACTTTAACTGATAATGAGATTTTGTGATTTCCAAATTCTCAATCCCAAAGCATAAAAATCTATTACTTTGGGGCCAGGGATATAACTCAGTGGTAGAATGGTGAGCTGGCAGGTACAAGGGCCTGAGCTGGAGCCTGAGTAGTGAAAAAATCTTACTTTGAGGATTTATAATATGGTACTTAGTATTCCTTTTCTCAAAGAAGAAATACAGGTTTAATAATAAAAATTATGGTAGCGCTGGGGATTTAGCTCAGTGGTGCCACGGCCTGCCTGGCAAGAACAAAGTCCCAAGTTTGATCTGTGGTACCAAAAAAACACCCCCCAAAACAAAAACAAATAAGAATCATAATAATTTGTACGTTTGACAACTCAATTACAACAATCCTATCAACAAATTATTACTCTATTTTATAAATTAGAAAACCAAGGCACATACTGATTTAAGTAATTAGCTCAATATTACCTGGCTACTAAAGGGGAAACCTAGGATCTGAAACCAGGTAGCCTGAATCTACAGCATATTACTCAACTCATTTTTCAGCCCAGGAACTCCATCTTAATCATACTATGTAATACAAGAGTAACCAAGAAGCTAAAATGCACTAGTAAGGTACAAAGCAGAAGGGGAAATGGGAGGGGTAGTGGAAAAGAAAGATGGGGATCGAATTAACATGAAAAAAAGAAAAAGGGAAACAAAGTCTTTGTAGATAGGGAGGGGTGGAGAGGTTGAAGGGCGGGCAGAGGAATGGGGAAAAAATAAGAACCAAGATGGATTATGTAAAGGTGCAAATTTCCAATGATGAATGTCATTATATTGCATATCTTAAATGTACCAATAAAATTAATAAAAATTAAAAAATAAAATGCACTTGTAAATCTAGGTAAAATTGTGTCACAGAAGTGGGTTCATCAATGAGAAGCCTAGGTACTATGAAAAGGTAAAGAGTAGGACAGGACAGAGGGGGAAGAGTAGAAGTGTTTTACTTATTGTGCTCACATATTCCTATGTGTACTTTCTATCCCAATAAAATAAATTAGCTGCTTCTTAGCACTTAGCTCTAGTCCCCTGACAAAAGGGTAATACAGAACACAAAGAATCATCTTAGAGAGATAAAGGAGAAAATGAATTTTAAGACCAATTTACTATCATACAACTTTCCCCCCAAATGCTCTGTAAGTATGAAAGCTTCTCTCTTTGCTATTGTGTTCTGCCTAATTTCATTTTAGAAATCAACGTTTCATTAGTATATTCCAAAGACTCTTTCACCTTTAATTTTATTTTTGATACTAATTTAAAAAGTGAGAGAAGGCAATATTGTTGAAATATTGTAAACAAAACAGCAGCACCAAATTAAACTGGGATTTAAAAGTGAAATGCCAGATGACTAGACAGAACTCCTATTATAGACCTTAACATTTCATTAAAGTGAGGTTTGTCATCATCAAGCAAAGAGATTCATAATAAAAGATTAAGATCCAGATGATCTCTGAAATTCGGACAGCACTGTAAACGTATTGACCAATCCAGAAAGGAAAAGAATGGGACAAACAGAACCTTTGAGTGTTCCACTACTTTTGAACACAACTAACATGTATTTTATTTCTGGCATGTATCTTTTGGCTACTTTCATAATAATATCCATATTCAATGTGTATTCTTCACTTGCTTTCTATCTTCTCATTCACTGATTCTAAAGATAATCCATTTTGATTATTCCTTTAGACAATACATTTGTCATATATATATATATATGTGTGTGTATATACATATATATGTGTGTATATACATATATATACGTATATAAATTTTTTTTGGTTCTGGGGATCGAACTCAGGACCTTGTGCTTGCAAGGCAGGCACAATGCCACTGAACTAAATCCCCAGCCCTACATTTGTGATATTAACAAGAGTAAGATCATGTAAAGTATAAACGTACCCTGCAAGCAACATCCTTCTTACCCTATGCCTCATTAAGCAGTTACAAAAATTTTATAAATTTTATCTACATTCTCATCGTCCTGCTCCATATAATGTTTTACATTTTAATCATCCCATCAATATAAATCATGAATGTTCTTTTAAAGGGGGAGGGCATCCAACTTAGAGTCTCATTTCTAAAGGCTCTGAAGGAAAAAAAATGAATAAAGTAAAAAAACAAATAGACACCTTTCCAAATGGATTCTTGAGGTGATAACTTTTAGTAAGAGAGGAGAAAAAAAAGTGGGAGGGGATTGTTTTTCATCAATAGGGATTTATATTACCAAAGGACTTTAAAAAATAAAACTGGCATGTTTAAAATATGTCCACTACATTTAGGAACAATTCCTTTATTTTGAAGTAAATACTCTTGCTGAAAAAATTAATATCTTATTTTCAGGAGCAATTTTCTACATTAATATCAAACACCACATTTGTACAATACATCTTTTTATGGTTGGTTAATCAAAATATTCATTTTAAAGGACTGAAATCAACTGCAATCTGAAGAATTATAATATTTCATTTCACAATAAAAATAATTAAAAATAAAAATCTACCGCCCACTCCACCCTCAGCCTCCTACCCCCACAGTAAAAAGAAAAAACAGATCCTAAAAGATGTCTTACAGTGCTGACTGAGGTGTTTCTGCAAGCACTTTAAACTTTAAAGTAGTCAAGTTCTACGTCCAATGACATAGGGTTACAGGCTTAAGTCTCTACTCACACAGTGGAGGTTGATGAGCAAGCAAACAGCTGTCCTGTATCTTGAGACAGACATTAGCTTCCTGCCTTCCCTATCCTCATAAGCAGCTACTTAAAGTTTGAGTTTTATGCAAGAAAACATTTTAAAGCCTTCAGTGTTTTACTGCAGCAGACTTCAGATTCATTCCTGTAACACATTTAACATGAAAACAGTTGAGACAGTTAAAATTTATTATGTGCCCGCATTTTAATCATCTCAGTTTTTAAGGAGTTCTGTCACTATTACAGCTACATAAAAGGGCTACTGAAGTAAAATTAAGAAATAAAAAACTCTATCATTTTGTATTTGACACTAATGTAAAAGCGTAACAATATATGTATAGCTTTAACCTATGCATTTTTCTATACCAAATCACAGGCTAGGTAAGCAAGGATTACTTTATATAATCATATATACCCAAAGTAAACAAAACTAGATTCTCTTCTGTTTTCCTAAAGGTTAGCTAAATGACCACCAATTAAAGAACACCTTTACAAATATTTCAGAGCCTTTGAGGGGCTCAAGTATAATCCTGTCACAGCTTCTGACTAGGGATGAGCATCTGGTCCTGTTGTTACATACATACATACATACATTTATTTATTATTATTATCTATTTATTTATTTTTGATACTGGGGATTGAACTCAGGACCTTGAGCTTGCAAAGCAGGCAGCAGAACCACTGAGCTAAATCCCCTGGCCCATGCTGTTACTTTTATCATAACTTGTAGTACCCTTCCCCACAAATTCAATTTCTGTAGTACCATCACTGCTTCAAGATTAATGTAGAAGGGTGGGGGGCGCTGACTGCATTAGCATAAGAAATATTTGACCCTATTCAAACAAATTCTCAAAACAAAAGGGGTTTAGTAAGTTAGGAAGTAAACTATGATATGATTAAAACTGTCATTTCTTCATTCCATTAACAATATATTACATAAGCAGTCATAATGACATTTAGAAAAAAAGTGTTTAACTAACTAAAAGAATTCTGGCATGGTAGCACACACCTGCAATCCCAGGACCTGGGAGATTCAAAGCAGGAGACTTGTACTACATAGAAAGTCAATTTTTTAAGATAACATTCCTAGATAAAAATGAAATACCATTAAAAAATTTGACACAGGTAATTCTTAATAATTTTGTTTTCTATCTTTATCCAAATAATAGTCTAGTAGTATTACTAGTAGTACGAAATTTAGTGTATAATTGTACCAGAAAGTGACAAAAAGGGGATGATTCTAGACGTGGATGTTTCAATGGTTTTCTTTTTTACCTGACTTTTTCCTACAATTTTAAGAAAAGAACAGGCAAAATATGTATATAAAT